TACAAGTATTTATCACAAACCTCATAAGAGGTTTAAGTCTTTTACCAAAAAAACAAGTAGTCATTCAGTTCAGGCAAGCCAGTAACTGGCTTCCTAATAAATTCTACGCCCCACAACGTTCCACGGCACGTCCCCGTTGTATTGGGAACATCTCCTGACGATGACATCATCATTTATGATACATTATCGAGAGATGTTCCCAGGGCGGAGATGTGCTGTGAGACGTTGTGGGGCGCCTCCTTGTGCGGCGCTTGCTAATTGCTAGGGTGGCTTCGAACCGAATCCCGACTGCACCAGGGTGGCGGGCTACCCCCGCTGAATAAGTCATTCAGTTCATCGATTTCAACCGCAAAAGTCATTCAGTTCATCAATTTCAACCGTCATTTATTAGGGTTGTTTACAGCACTCCTCGTACTTCACGGTGTAACCCTATACGAGACCGCTCATACTAGGCACGTCTCCTTCCATCCTTATTCTTATTGATTTATCCTTCTGCTACTGCTGCCGCTGTTCGGTCCGGAATACAGGAGTTCTACCTCTTTTTGTCTTTCAGGTTTTGATGAATTGTCGTTTTTTCGGACTATTTTTGTGCTAATGCCAGTACTTTATACAAGTGGATGAAGTTATATAAACAAAGCTATTGGATTACTTTTACGATGATTGTATCACGTTAGAGGATTTACTGATGTACTTGTTTCATTTCTACAACTAAGTTAAGTATTGATAGGATCATACTGTTGAATTCGATTTCTCTTCCCCCATAGTTAGATATTCAGAAGGTGTTTCATGCTCTGGTTTGTATAAAATTAGGACTTCATCATGCTTTTCTTAGATTGTTAAGAGATTGTCCAAAATCCAGGAATATGGCATTTTTTTTATTGAATCGACAAAAGAGATATTTCACAATATTTGTCCATTGCCTTGCCAAAGCATCAGCCATAGCCCATACTGTTGACATATCTTGGTATGTACCCGACATTCAGCTCTCCCGCCATTCTACTTACCTCCCTAATTCACTACCTGCCATGAGCTATGCCCATATAGCATGTAAATCCCCTTTCATCATCAGGTTTCTATACTTAATGATGCAGCCCTCACTTCATGTCTGTCCGTATTATTGTTTCTAAACACGCCTCCCACTCCCGAATTGCCTGGGCTTCCAAGGCTGCCTCTATTAAAACCTAACCTGGTTATGTTAGGATAAGGAGGTGCGTAATTTGCAATTGGATGGTACAGATTGGAGGTTGTTCCTGATCAATCCAGCAAAATTATTTCACCAGTTTCAATCTAACCTGGTAATATTGAAAGGTTATTTCTACAGAGAGGTATTCAGAAACAAAAGTGTTTTTTTAACATTTATCGCAAATGAGAACAAAAAAGGGACTCATGTTTATAAATTGCATTGAAGATAGTGATACTGAAAGGCAATGGAAAACTGTTATTTGAATTTACAAAGTTGGCAGAGCAGCAGCTATGCTAGCAGCCTGTTTATTACTTGCTTGAATGCTCTGGCTGTTAAACACATTTTTTAAGTATCATTTCACTTTTTTTTTTCTGTTATTTCTTTGGAGCTTGAGGGCTTATAGTCATGATTTTAATGATTTCTATTAAATGAGTGCCTTCTTTTGCTGTTGCAGAAATGCAAAGTGTGTCTTTGTTGTATTCATTTTTTATTTTGTGCATTCAGGGTTGGTGTGGTTGGGTGTTGTCAATGGGGGAATGGTTGGGGTGACTGCTTATGTTTTCTTCCTTCTGGTTGATTCCTTATTACCTGTTCTTGCATTCTCTCTTTCTCTTTTTTTTCCCTTTCGTAACATTTTATCTTGTGTTTATTATAATCAATGCATTTGATTGGAAATTTAGAAAAAATAAGTAAAATACTTGTTAATGGTACTCTGGTGATTCTTTATTTTTAAACAGATGGAACCTATTGACATACCAATTCTAGATGGACCACCCATTGATGGTAATCTTATGGAGATTGGAAATGTGGGAACTTGCAATGCTGAAGATGATACTGCAGACATAGAGAGGATTACTCACCATATTGATAACATGATTACAAAGGTTGTTGAGGTGAGTTTTGATAGACAATTTCGGAGTCAGGCAATGATTCCCACCCTCCTCTGTTTTTTCTCCCTTTTCTGTTTCTCAATATAGATGCAAAAAGGTACTGTAGGGGAAAATCCCAGTGCTTATGAATGATACTGAGGGTCGACTGTATAACATCTTATGATCTGTCTTATGTTCTTATCTTCCTTCCCTCTCCTCCTTTGATAAAAATGATCAATTTTGAAAGAAAACTTAAAAGATAAAAGAAGTGTTTTTGAGGTTATACAAAACCCACATGTTTATTAGATTCATTAATTAGTGCAAGACAGTACAAAATGGATTTCCGAACAAAGATTTTGACACATCCTTATATTCTGGATGAGTCAGCATCTGATCCAAAAGCAAGGATCAAATATTAGCACACATGCATCTCTCATTCATAGACTTTCTTTCAAATGCACATTTATTCCCTTTTTTCCAAACTCCCCAATACACTATAAATGGGGTGGCAGTATGACACTCTAATATATCTTGGTTTTCCTACCCCCATCAAGAGATGGCCACATGGTAAATATCTTGTGGGGGGATGGAGGATGTATTGCCAGACATGCATCCTCAGAACTCTTGGACATAACACATAAACTAGCCAGACAAAATCCTCTATTTTCTAGTGGTCGAGGACCAAAATGCTGTCTAATGCTTCCAGTCTTCCACCCAAGGATGGTTGTATTACCCAAAACCTTGCTAACCTGAAAATTATCAACCTGATTTCTTGTTAATGCTTCATAAGAGGATAACACTGTAAAGAATCCAGTGGAGAGTTATCTTCTTTCAGATTTGCTGACCTTTTATAAAGATCTCTTGATTTTTTTAACAGTTGAAATAATGGCAGGCAGGCCGGGGATTGATCTGAACTGCTGTAAGCCTGTAACAACTGGTTTATGGTCTTAATGGATCACTTTTTGTTTTTTCAAAATACTGATATGAGACCTAGGCCTCACTAGGATTCACTTCTTGCATCTTAGGGTGCTTTGTCCGTGCCTTTCCTTGAGGTGAGCCTGAAGTATTTCTTCTAAAATAGCTTTGGAAATGTTGGATTATGTGCTTACATTTCTTGAGACTTTCTAGTATTTGTTCTCATTGCTTCAACCAAAGTATGAATTGCATAGTTTAGTTATTGCAGCTGATCTTCGGTGGAATCCTCCATTGCCCTCTTTTGAACTTTTCTCTTCTCCTAGGCACCCTCAGACGGTTATTTTATTTTTTTGTTAATATTAATTTGCAGCTTGAGCAAAAAGTGAATGAAGTGGAACAGTTCTTCTTAACTTCGAGTAAAAGGATCAATTTCAAAGGCAGCTCAGTTGTGAAGGACAAGGACAAGGATAAACATATCATTAACATCAAGAAACAGCAGCAAGATGCAACACAAAGGGAAGCAGCTAGTGCAAAAAGAATGCAAGAGCTTATGCGGCAACTCTCCACTATATTGCGCCAGGCAATTACCAGGCCCTTGTATTTGTTCTCATAGTCAGCATTAACTATATGCATGGGTGATATGTCATGTTTTAAATGCTTACATGTATCATTGCTTCTAGATGGAAAAGTATATATTACTTAGCAAAACAATAAAATGAATTCTGTATATTATGTCAATATTAATCTTGAAATGTGTTCACTGATTCCCCTCTTTCATTCTTTCTGACAATTATTTTTGAACAGTGTTTTATGTGGTGAACGATATATGTTTCTCTTCGGTATGGTACTCAAATGAATTTGTAAAAGAAATTCTTTAAATTATTTGTAATCTTTGCTTTATTTAAAAAGCTATTGAGTTCTCTTTCAGTTTCTAATGTGGGCTTTATATTCCATTACATAATCTTTTTGATAGCATGTTTGGCGTAAGTTGTATATAGATGGTAAAACCAGTGATTTAAAAGGCGCGCCTAGGCGCACAGGCGAGGCACATTTTGGGGTATGCGCTTTGCCCAGGTCCTAGGTGCACCCCTTTCAAAAGGCGCACGCCTGATGCGCCTTGCGCCTCAGCCCAGGCGTGTGCCTTTTAAAATTTTGCACTTTTTGCTCTTTTTTTAGTCTAACGGCTGGGCCGGGGTCTCCGCCCCCAGACCCCCGACCATGCCCCTCGAGGCAAGCCTAAACAAGTCTATGTTAGGGTTTGAAATTCTTATTTCTCACATAAAAAATAATGATTTTATAACTTTCATTGCCTTTTAAGAAAACATTTTATTGCAATGAATGAATGAACAACATTAGCAACAACATGAAAGTTATAAAATCATTATTTTTTATGTGAGAAATAAGAATTTCAGACCCTAACATAGACTTGTTCGGGCTTGCCTCGAGGGGCGTGGTACAAAGGCAACTCATAGAATTAAGAATGCAATATGTTTTACATTAGCTACTTGAAGCAATGCAATTAAGGAGAAAAAGAGATTGTGGGTTTTACATGCTTGAAAATGCTT